TTAGGTGAGAGGTACTAAGATGATGAGGAGGTAGAGAAGGAACTGATCAGATTCAATCACTGGATACAAAAGAAAGCAAAGAAAGATAACAGATAATATTGATTCTAAAATGTTCAGGCTCAGCAGCCTGGAGATCATAGATATCACTAAAAGAGCAACTTGGAGAACAGGCACAGGTTTGTAAAAGATAATAAAAGATTCATTTAGGGGGAAATGTTCAGTTTGAGGTAACTTGAGTCACCAGATATTTGGAAGGTCATTTGAAAGGTAGGTGAGTAAGAGACTTGGGGTAGAAATATGGATTCAACATCACATCCTAACTTCTAAGAGCTGATGCAAAGGATTGAAATGGATGTATTCTAAGGACAAACCTGGGGAGCTCAAACATGTGACCTAGTAGCCAGGAGACAGACAAGGCTCTGATGAACCAGAGATGTCAACCCCTTAGATTCAGGAGGTTTTCTTGTTGCAGCAACCTCCCCTCCTAAAAAAGATCTCCTAGAGCCCATCTCCACCTCTCAAAATACTGCCCAGCTTACAGACCCTCTGAGAAACTCCCTGATTAACCATCCTAATCAGAAACCAACCTTCCAACTTTGCATCATTTTTCAAGCTATGGGCACATACATCCCTGTGTCATGACTATTTATACAAATATCATCCTCCCTATCCATCCCTTATTTCCCAAACATTCTATTACTTTATTCATCAAAAAAAGAGAAAGAAACAAAAGGAAAAAAACCTTATTTTGGGGGCATACAAATTTCTCTTTTCAAAGTTTTAAAAAATATTTATATATATTTTTTATTTTTAGAGATTTTCTTTTCTAAAAAGAGTGAAAGAAACATCAACATACAAGAGAAACATCCATCCATCCATTGCCTCCCTCTCACATGCCCCCAACCAAGCCAAGCATATGCCCTGACCTTTCAGTTTGTGAGTCAACACCTAACCTACTGAGCCACACCAGTCAGGGCTCTTTTTAAATTCTTTGTCTCCTGATTTCTGGTCTTAGCTCAAAGAGAAAACATGATGGTATTTGAAAAGAGATGAAGCTGAGGAGAAACTGGAAAGGACAGAGGCAAATGTCACCTTTTTCATATTCTTTTCTGATATTTTTTGTTTCTGAGCACCCTGTACGTTAGCTGCTATCTGGAACACATGGAGAAGCATGATCCTCTAGATAAATTATTCTATCCTTGGGTGATATGATCTATTTTCATTAATGATTAATTCATGAAACCCTAAGTCTTCCTCTTCCCCACATACCCTACCCCCACCCCTCAACACACACATACACACACTTAAAGGTTTTAACTTATAAAAAATTTATTACTTTTTAAATACATTTGTCTCCCCCCCCCCCCTTGCCCCCTCCCACCCCCCCCCACTCTTCCCCTTTGGTTTTGTCCATGAGTCCTTGCTATAAATTATACCCACTTACCCACTGGGAAAATCAAGTCTATACCTAACTGCTGATTAATTTGACAACTAGGTATGCTTTATTCTATAGTATGTTAACAACACTAAATTCTACAGTAATTTTTTCTCTAAGTTTTTATTGCCTAAGGCATATGTTGCAGATTTTTCTTTTCTTTCTCTGAAAACTATAAAAAAATTACAAGCTCTACCCCGGGTCAGACCTGTTCAGATACCATGATTTTAACTTTAAATTTAAGTTGTGAATTAGAGCATTACATTTTTTCCTGTTCAATTTCAATCTTAAAAAAGCTGTGGGTCACTAACTAGTATAATTTCAAGTTCTGTCTGACGTTCTAAATGGGCTGCCCTCAAAACTTTCACATAGTGACCCTGTGAAGCAGGGAAGGTGTTGAGGTCTGTCTCATGCAGCACAAAAAAGAAAAAGTTTCTGTGTTCATCAGAGGAACTGGGCTTCTAGTTGGAATTACAGAGAAGTAGCCTGAACACACACAGTGAGCAGCCCAGCCTCAGAGCCGGCTTCTTCCCAAGACAGACTGCTCCCTGTCCCTTGCAGAGCTCATACATTTACGGCTCCCTGGCTGAAAACACTGGAAGGGGTAGGTAAAATGGGTTTGGCCTGAGGCACTTCTTGAGGTAGTTCTAACACTAAGAATTGCTTCACTACTAGAAAGAGAAGGCTTCAAATCAGAGTCTTCACCCTGTATGGCAGCTTTAAGAACTAAATAGAGGAAGAACACTGGCCCAGGACTCAAGCAAGCCATCCTAATTTCAGTTTGTTTAGCTATAAAATGAATGCTAAGATATCCTGGGGTTCAAAGGACCTACAGATATAATCCCCTTCCCTGTGTCTGCTCTATTGGTCAAACTTGTGGAAAAGATAAAAAGAGATGAAAGGGCACATGACATGGGAAGGCCCGCCCAGTGCCTGAGCTCGGGTGGAGGGTAGATTCCATACAGAATAGCTGAGACCGACATCCAGGGCTCTCCACACTAACCACCACTTGCCCCAGAACCCAGGAATACAGCACAGAAGAGGGGCAGCTAAGCCAAGGATATCACAATGAATCACTTAACGGTGCCCCAGTTATGTCATTCCACAGTCATGGTGGATACTGTTCCAACTGTTTATAGGCACATGAGGATCTACAAATATGAGTTGCACCTGTGCAAATATTACTTTTTATAGTCACGTTTCAGATTTTGGAAGATCTGCTGTGCCACAATGTAATCTCTAAGTACAGTTGTATTCCTAAAATAAATCTGATGGGAAAGTAGTGTCTGAAGAAATAACATTCCAAGAAGGAAAAAGGAACCAACTCCGACATCATGTTCACTGTTTCTATGAGCTAATCCAAGAAAGCTCTGTGCCTAGGATATGACTGAAGCATTTCTGGTCTTTCAAGAGCTTCACACTCTGCTTAATCCTTGTCATCAAAGCATCATCTCTCCTCTCAAGAACAGAAGCAAAATTTTTCTCGACATTAAATCTAATTAACAACTTCAAGAATAATTGTTAATGGTACTAAGATGGCAATCAAAACATGTGAAGTTTTCTCTGATTTACTGATGAACTACAAATTTAGTATATTTAGGTGGCAAGTAATTAAAAATAAATTCTAACATATTATTTTTCTAAAATACAAAATTCTGAATAGCAATATTAGGTATTGCTTTTAATATGAAGTCTTTACCTTAGGAGCTATTTTCTCTGGCACATAACCCCTGAGTGCTAAGGGGTGTCTATCTAGTATCCTTTGAAACAGAGGTGATTAGAAATGCTCTAAGCGCATCTGGAATTATTCCTTCCACACCTGTCAGTTCTCCATTAGCAAAAGCTGCTACCATGGGGCATGGCTCAATTCATCTTGAAGTTATTATTTTTTTGAAGGAATCAAAACCTTCACTTTTTCCTTAGAAAAATAGAGACCATATGAGATACTTTTCCTTCATGCTCTGTCTAGAAGAGAAACATGTCACTAGAAATTTTACTACTAAAAATGATGACAAAGAGTTGATTCTGTACTTTAAAATATTCAAGCCATTACAGGAATTCATATCTAAAAATGTAAGTTACACATTTTAAAATAGTTCCTTATTATATTTGTGTTTCAGATTTTGACACACCTACTGTGCCATGATGTAATCTCTAATGACAATGGCATTCCTAAAATGAATCTGATGGGAAAGCAGGTCTGAGTGCATAGCACCTTCAAGAAACCAGGTGAGCATAGAACCTCTTAGAAACTGCTTACAAACACATCAAGATAAATGAAAAGTAATGTATTACTTCTAGGAATAACTATGTAGACAAAATTTAGAACTGTAAGTGTACAAATGCTCGACACATCACCTCTGTAAACCCAAGATAGAGAAAGAACAAGTTTGGAGAAAGGAAACTGAAAAAAAATTTACAAAATCAATCTCATTCTCAATCACTCTTCCCCAGCTTGATATCCCTCTCCCTCTCCCTTTCTTTCTTCCAACTTGATCCATCTACTATAATCCCTTCAAAACAGCTCTCCACATAAAAACATCTAAAACTTTCCTGGCCCTGGGGCAGATTCTTGCGAACCAACATCTGAGCTGTCATGGCTTCAGATATAATAACAATAACTTTGAAGTTGATAAGGGTGAGATGGGGTTTGGTCATCAAAGGCTTAGTCAAAGAGCACAGCCTCTGGATCTTCTTTAGGGACAATGGCTGTTGTGACTTGTTCTGAGGCTATTAATTTATGCTTTAAAATATAGCTTACAACAGAAGTCTCAGCAACCAGGCAATCTTATCAGCTAATGGGGACCTTCTGGGGCACAGATTGAAGAAGCTCAGCTGTCCTTAATACAAAGCCATTAGTCCTGGCTGGTATGGCTCAGTGGATTGAGCACCAACCTGCAAACTAAATGGTCACCCATTCGATGCCTGGTCAGGGCACATGCCTGGGTTGTGGGCCAGGTCCCCAGTTGGGGGTGCGTGAGAGGCAACCACACATTGATGTTTCTCTCCTGCTCTTCCTCTCTGTCTCCCTCACTTAATAAAAATAAATAAATAAATAAATAAATAAATAAATAAATAAATAAAATCTTTTTAAAAATTACAAAGCCATTATAGGTAATCAGAAGTGACTAAAATTATTTCCCCCCTAATATTTAGTATCTCATATGTATCATGATAGCACAACATGGTAATACCTTTTATGAATCTTGTACTTGTTACTTAGAATTCACAAAGCAAAATGTTCCTGAGGTTCCTGGAATCAGTCCCTGGATAATTATTTTCTAGATTTAAGAGTAACTTAAAAGCCTTTTCCAATACATTAATTCCCCATAACTGAGAAAATAATAGTGTGAAATAGGCTACTTCATTAGATTGTTTTTTAAATCCCAATAATGGTAGATCAAAGTTGTCGACCCAAGTTTTCAGCTTATTACATAAAGTGAAACGCTGTTAACACCCATGTGCCGATTCACCTACTTCTATCTGGAGTGATGCACGTGTTCATGAAGAACCATGCAGGCCACCCGCTGGGCCGCCCCTGCTGTGCCTGGTCATCCCCACTTACGGTTGGCCAGCCTGTTCTGCTCGGGCTGTGCGCTGTCCACAGACTGGGTGCTGGAGACTGAAGACACGCTGGAGCTCCGCATGAAGCCAAATGCTGCCAGTTTGGCTGCTGGAAGACGTGAATACCCAGGAGGTCGAAGTCCAGATTTCTGTAGACTGGATTTGGCAGCATTTGAACTGGAAGCTTTCTTTAAATCTGTTAAAATGAACCCAAAACATAACAAAACAAAATCTCAGTTGACAGCAAGATAGAGAATACACAGAGTGTGAATACTAATCCAGTTCTAGGATAAACAGACCATGAATAATCTTGAGGGTCCAGTTCAGCACATTCAGAACCACATCTTTCCCAGGAAGTCCCTCACTCTGAAGTCAGGTGCTTCAGAGAACTCAAAGAGAAGGAGAGGCAGAGGTGGATAAGATCAGAACAACTAACCCTATTATAGGGTCATAAAGAAAGATAAAAAGGGCTTAGGAAGCAGAATGGAATGATAATAGCATTGCAAGTTACCCTAGAATTGTGAAATTGAGATACATCTTAAAATCTGACATATAATGGGCAAAGGACCCTCCTGGCAACTACACATTAGCAATTATAACCAGTGTATAAAGTCATGGAAACAGGTACAGAGAATCATCTTACTAAGCTTTTGTTGGTTGCAGAAATGAGAGGAAAGGGCACAGATTGAGGTGCTGCCCAGATTGGAATCTGGGCCCTACCAGTTACTAGCAGTGTAATTTGGGGCCCCTGACCTAACAGAATCACAGTTTCTTCCCCCAGAAGGAACTGAGGATCATAAAACTGGCCTTGCAGATTTAGTGTAAGTAACCTGCTTATAATACAGAACTTAATAAATGTTCAAATTAATGCTAGATTTCTTTTCTCCTTTTTCTGTTACTTACTTTTATGTTAGTGTATACTTCAAAATTAGTTCCCAGATACATGCAAATCCAGCTATCAAAATAAAAAAAAAAAAACAACATCATGCTATAAACCCATCAGCTCAGTACCACTATGTCTGAGCAGGGCTCCTGGGATCAATCATCGCAAAGCTACAAGACGTCTCAATACCAGATGGAAACAGAATGCTATCAAGACACGAATGTTCTATGATACAAAATTTAAAAGAAAAAAGAGCCAACCCCCCTAGTATTCTGTATAACTTCCTAGTCAAACCATTTAACAACTTTCTCCTGCAACCATATTTACCCAAGTACTTATGTCCCTATCCCTCTGTAATGTTCTCATGCTATAGTTGGTCAATTCATTATTATCCAGTGGGAGATTACTCAGGATGCAGATTAAAGACAATTTTTTTAATGGCCAATTTATAAAAGAAAATCAATGTCTGAAAATCAATGAAGAGTCTACATATTAGAAAGTTTCTATAGGTGGAAATATAGAAAGAATCATTAGATGACAGAATGGGTTTATAGTGCCTCTTCCTCTACCAGCAGCTCCCTGTCAGAGTGAGGCATGGACAGTTTCAAGTCCAGTGAAGGCGCTATCTGCACACCTGAAGCATCCTGATCCTGGGTAAGGACTAGGAGTGGGAGGAATTAGGGGAGTGCAGGAACTGGGAGGTGGGGCTGCAAATTTTCCTAACTCAGATCTGATGCTTGGGAAAAATGCTGAAATATGACAGTGAAGAAATAATCACTGTTTAATAAATAGTGATGACCCTTCTGCATTAGCAATTAAATGCCATTTCCAATGTCTATAAATTGTTTTCAGATCCTTTTGCTTAATTTTAGATGATATCCCCAGAACAATTAAAGTGTCCCCATGTATCAGATATACTTTTTACAATAAGTTTATACTAAATCAATTTTGGATGATGCCTGTAAAACAGAAAAAGAGTTGCTAAAAATCAGATGTAATTTTAACAATATGTATATAATAAACCCATCACATTTTTGACACTATTTTCAGTCATAGATAACCTCCTTCCTAACCCAGTTAATCAATAATTGACTTAAGATTATTTAAGATCAAGTGAGAAAAAAATATAAATAAAATATTTTTGGAGGGAAAACAAATCTATATTTGGAAATGAAGGAGAAGTCAGAATTCCTAACAGAGCACTTTGGCATGTGGTAAATACTTGTTTAATATTTATTTAAGAATGAAAACTAAATCTATTAAATCATAACATAAAGCAATTAAAGCATTAAAAATGTTCAAAGACAAATATATCTTATTCTACCCTTACCTATATTCAATTATTGTTCATTTCATCAGTAGAAAGGCAGCAATGGCCACATGTTGAGAAGGAGAAGAACTTGACAACACAGGATTCCAACTACAGAGGATGTAGGTCTCTAAATGACTTTCTAGTGTTCACATTCCCATAGTTCAGCTCTTTCTTTTAATAAAGGAACATATGGGGTGGTGGGGGCTATTTGTGGATGTATACCTTGTCCTAACTCTCTGTATATATACTTATTTCTAAATTTAGTATAACTTAGAGTATACCTCAAGTCACTATGCAATGGTCTCTCCTTACAAACAATATACTTAAGGGTTTAGAGGAGAAAGTAAAATCTATACCACCAGGTTTTGACAAGTTATTCAAATAAAGTTTACCTGAAGTTGGCATTAGCCAAGCATGCACTACATTAATTTAGCCCACAGCATGAGCTGAATACCTCCCCTTGTCTCTCTGCATGTGAACTACTCTGGAGTGAAGTTCAAAAGCCTGCTTTTTAAACAGGCACCTCAGTGACTCTCATTCAGATAGCTCCCTGGACCATACCTGGAAAACTTCAACAGAAGGATCCAACTCATCCTGTGAAATAATCATATTCAGATATTCTAATTGAATATGCCTTGATTTAATCTTAGTTTCTCATAAAGATGCACTTAATGATTAAAAAATATGTAGCCCTTATTCTTTTTCAGTCTGGCATGTCAGAGAAACATATTTTTTCAAGTATTTTTTTATTTTTGGACTATTCAAGAATATAAACTTTGACATGAATAACATATCAAGGTTTATAGTAAGCTCTCAATAAACTAATGATAGTGATTAACATTATAATAAAGCTGAGGAGCACGTTGAGAGAGACAACTTCCTCAATGGTGGCATAAGAAACCCTATCAATACTTTCTCCAGTAAAAGAAGCAAAATTGGTAAAAATTATTTTTTAAAAAACAACATAAATTTAAAGTCTCTGGAAATTGTTCTAAGGACATGCAGCAAATAAAAAAACACTTGTATGAGAAAATCTGTTAAATCTCAGTAAGCACAGTGGTAGTGGATGGCAACTGATCCAGGACCTACACCTTTCCTCCCCTCTGTGCATCTCAGCATGATGAAAAGCCTGCTCTGGGTGTGTATGGCCAAGATGACAAGTTTCTTCTCCCTGTTAGAGTATGGTATATAATGGGAGAGGTAGGCCATCACCATTTCACATCCATGTCCAAGAGAAACACATCACAATTCCCACCACTTAGTAGAATCATGACTAAGGGATTTTGCCCAAGGGAAGAGACAGGCCATAAGAACAAAAATAGCACTGTGCAAAGAAACTGATTCTATTTGGAAGAGTGTGGGAAAATTTCAAGCCTAAAGGCACTCTTGAAAACAATGTAGATTCTTATGGTAAGCAATAAGGCAGAGGCTAGTCACTGTTTGTAACCAAGAAGATAAACTATAGGTAAGCCAGTTTACAAAAGAGAACCATGAAAGAAAGCTAAGAGCCTTCAAAAACTACCCATGAAAATAGTCCTGAATTTAATTGGGTCAGACTGTGTAGTAATTTATGGCTCAGGGCACTGTAATTAGTGGATCCTGATAGCTGGGTATGTTATCAAAGGGAGGAAGACAGGTTAACAGAGAAATCAGGGAGAAAGAAAAAGAAAGCTCTGCTAAAATACTGTCAGAGTACTGCAAGAAGTAAAAAAACAAGCACAAAAATAAAATACTGTCAGAGTGACTTCATATTCCCAAGGCTGTGCCTCTATGGAGTGACATCACATTGCAGGGGAAGTAGGCTTCAACAAAAGAGACTAACCATGTCACTAAACAAACAAATAAACAAACAACAATGCCCACACAGGAAGTAAGGTTACCAGTATCCACAGATGTGACAATATATTATCTAAATGTCCAATGAACAACAAAATATTTTGAGATGTACCAAAAAACAGAAAGCTTTGATTCATACATAGGGGAAAATAAGCAAGCAATAGAAAGTGCCTGTGAGAGAGGTCAAATGTATGTCTTTGCAAACAAAGACTTCAAAATAGTTGTTATAAATATATTCAGAGAACTAAAGGAAACCATGGTTAAAAAAAGTAAATGAAGTATGACAAAAAGGCCTCATTAAGTAGACAATAACAATGAAAAATTAAAAATTATTTTCAAAAGAAAAAAGAACAAAAAAGAATCCAATAGAAATTCTGTGTTGAAAAGTAAAGTAACTAAAATGAAAAATTAACTGCAGGGGCTCTACAACAGATTTAAACTGGTGAAAGAATCTGTAAACTTATAGATCAGTAAATATCATGTAATTCAAGACACAAACAACAGAGTCCTGGCCTGGTAGTTCAGTTGGTTAGAGCATCATCTCAATATGACAAGGTTGTAGGTTCTATCCCTGGCACATACAAAGATCAACCAAAGAATGCATGGATAAGTGGAACAACAAATTGATGTTTATCTCTCTATTCCTTCCTTTTTCTTTCTCTAAAAAGAGAAGGGAAAAAAGAAAGAAAGGAAGATTAACAAAGCCTCAGTAAAACATGGGACACTATTACAATGTCCAATGACATACAAATAATTGGTACATCAGATGCAGAGAAGTGAAAGGGACAGAAGATATATTTGAAGTAATAGCTAAAAATTTCTAAAACTTATGAAAAATATTAATGTACACATCCAAGATGCATCCAAGATACTAACAAAAAACAACCCCAAGTAAAATACATGCAAAGACCTCAATACCCAGACACATTATGGTAAATATCTTGATAGCTAAAAGCAGAAAATCTTTAAAGCAGGAAGAGAAAAATGACTAAGCATGAGTGAATGCCAACAGATTAACAGCTGACTTCCCATCAGAAACCATGGAGGGTACAAGACAATGGAATGACATATTCTATGTGCTGAAAGAATAAAACTGTCAACATGGAACTTTATATTGAGCAAAACTATCTTTTAAAAATCTAGCCAAATAAAGACATCCTCAAAT